CAAAACAGCAGTTGCTGCCAGGGGAAGGGAGGGAGGTTTTATTTATTCCCACAGTTTATACTGGGCCTTTTGGAATTACCGTTTTCCCCAAATTTTCCTCTCGTGGTGGGTGTCATTGAGCCTGCCATCCTCCGAAGCCTTACTACCCCAAACCAAGCTGCCAGCCAGGAGGGGGTCACCACCCTCCCAGAGCTTCTCTTGGCTCTTTTTTTAAAAGTCTCCCAACAAGTAGTATTCTTGCTGGGAAAGGAAGCTTGGTGAAGAAATGTCAAATATGGGTTTTAAACAAGGTCCTGCCCTGTGATGAAGCGGCCGCCCCAGCCCAGAGAGATGCTCAGAACTGGATGCGGATGAGAGCACCCTGCCCGCGGTGGCCCCGGTGCTCTGCCCCCACCACCCCAACCCTCTGGTCTCGGTAGATGTCCCTAGACAGGCTGAGCCATGTGCAATAAGAACATAGATCCTGACGGATCCCCTGAAAAGATGTATTTCTTGAATTAGAATTCTGAAATTGTATATCTATAAATATATGTTTATTATGTGACTTGTGGGTCTGTGTTGAGCAAGGGGGCCAAGCTTGGAGGGGAGAAGGGGGTACAAGCACCTGTTGCTGCTGACACTGTCCTGCCCTGGCCACGAGGAGTTTGGTGGCTATTCGGAATGTCCCCTCGCCCCAGCTGACAGCCACTTCAGTCACAAGTGTTGTTCCAGGGCTGACTCCCATCGCGACAAAGGGTGAGCGGCTCAATTAGGCCAGGACCCGGGGGTCCCTGGCACTAATCCAGGGTGGGCAACCTGGTCCTACCCCGCCGATTCCATCAGGCCTGTGGTGAACACAGCAGATTCAGAACCTCCCTTCTCCCCAGCCTGGAGCTCCAGCCCACCCTGGATCCAGAACAAGGGAAAAGTTCTCAGAGTTTCTTTCCATCTCTGGCTGCACAGTCTTCCCAGCCATCCCTGCCACACCGCCCCCACAGCCCACCCTCCTCCCCCATGGAAAAGTTAAAAATGCGGCAGCCAGCGTAGGGCTGTCTGAATGGAGCGGCAGATCTGCCGGGGGCCTCCCAGAGACAGGGCCCGGCAACCCTGACTGGCGGCCTGCGGCCCCTCCTGCCGCAGCTCCAGCCAAAGACAGGCAGGCTGCCCGGTGGCGCCACTGTAGCCTGGGAGCCCATTGGCTGCCCCCGCCCGGGTCACCACGGCCCGCCGCCCGGTCTGCAAGCCACCACTTGTTGGCTGCGGTTGGCAGGGGTGTTGCCAGCCGCCCCCATTCACCCCCCCCCCAAGTTCCCCTTCCCTCAGCGTGCAGTTCTGTGAGCCAAAAGGGGCGGGACAGACTCCGTCTGACTGTTCGCCACAAAAAAAGAGCCTTTGACAAGTGTCCCCACCCACTGTCAGGTGGCACAACAAGCCCCTAGTATATGCAAGCTCCCGGGATCAGCCAGCTTATCTCCCCGTCCTAGACTTGCCCCACGGGGCCAGGAGCACATACCCAGCCCGACTGTGGCCACATCCCCGCCCAGGGTTCCCGGGCAGAGTCACCTGGCTGTTGAGGAGAGGCGCACAGACTTGGAGGAATAGACTGTTGACAGTGTGGGCTCAGAATGCCTACCAAACATCACACCATGTGGTCTGAGCCAGTCAGCCCATTTCCCAGAGCAGGTGACTGAGACTCTGAGGCAGGGAAGTTCGTGCCCCAAGAGCCTCCCTCCATGAAGCCGTGCATGTCTTTGGGGTTTATGTAGCAGAACAATCAGTCCTTGAAGGGTCAGACCCACTCACACCAAGTAGAGTGGCAGGAGCCCTGAGTTCAGAAGGGTGGGAACGGGGAAAGGCCACACTAAGGGAAATGAGACTTAATCTGAGGGGCTGGGGCTGGGAACAGGCTGCCCTCAGGAGCTGTACACACTTACTCTCTCCCGGCAATGACAAAGGTGTCCACCTGCTGTGCGGGCAGCTTCCCTGAGCTGGCCGCACACTCTAGAAGCAGGACAGCAGATCCGTCAGGTGTCAATCTGCACCCCTCAGCCCAGCTGCACGGACTGATCCCTCTACTGGCTGGGTAACCTTGGGCATGTCACTTAACCTCCCTCTGTCTCGGTGGCCTCATCTTCAAAATGCAGATAATAAAACCACCTACCTCAGTGGGTTACTGCGAGGAGTAAAAGTTATCCCATACATATTTAAAAAAAAAAAAAAATAGGTACACAGGAAGGTACATGTGTTATCTGTCCTCAGTCGAGGAAGATTATTAACCAAGCACCAACTGGAGTCAAATCCCACTCCAGACGCGAATCCACAAAGGCAACTAAGACTTGGGCTGCCCTGGAGGAACTTCCGGCCGGGTGGGTAAGCCAGGCGTTCAGCAGACCCCCGTGAGCAGAGGACTGTGACAACAACAAACGGGGGAGCGTGGAGGAGTGAGCCGCTCACAGTAAAGAAACTGGCATCTGTGAGGAGGTGAGAGCGGGCAGGGTTCGGGTGGGCAGGCACTCTGGCTAGAGGGGACGGTGCAGGCAGAGTCCTGGGAAAGTACAGGAGGGAACGGTACATACCCCAGGTCCCCAGTCTACAGCTGTCTTCTCACCCAGTCACACCCAGGGGCCTTGGGCAGAGAAAGACGTTCACTGGGAATGAATGAACAAGAGACCCTGCGCCTCCTGAATCCTTGCTGTCCCCTGTTCACTCTGTTCGGGATTCACCAAGAGCACCTGAGCCTTTCTTGCTGGGCCCTGCCCTCACGGAGGCAGCCTTGTGAGGCCAGTCATACAGGACGGGGGACGGGGAGTTGGGGGAGAGGCTGGCAAACTTGGAAGCCTATGCTGTGGCATTCACACCATGGCCCTGTCCCCACCCCCTACCCCCCACCCCACCCCTGACCCTCATGGAGGGATGTTTCACCAGGCACAGAGCCCAGGCTTCCTGTTACTTCCAACAGCCCCACAGCTGTTTGGGCAGGAAATAAAGTTCCAGGGCCCAGACAGGACCAGGGGTATGACGGGCATCTTCAAGACCCCCACGTCCAGGTAGCCCTCCCAGAATCCAGGAGTCAGAACTTTGCTCTGGAGAAGAGTGGGCAGTCTGACCTTCTTTATTGCGTCCTCCCCTTCCCCTTCATTAGTCTAAATAAACTACCAGGGGGAACCTGGCTGCCTTAGCTCTGACTTTAGCTGGGCTTTTCCTTGGGGATGATGGGGTACAGTTCCAAGATGGAGCTGGTACTGGTAAGGCCAAGAGGTCAGGCTTAGGGCATTCAGGATTCTGGTCAGCAGTCCCACTACCTTAACTGGATGGGTGGTTGCCATTTTTTCTGATGGACACAGTGAAGGGGCCCAAGAGACAGGCACCCAAACAGCACAGGAGGATGCTGATGGACTTGATACAGAGGAGGGACGTGGAGGCCAGAAAAGTGGAGTGAGGTCCTCTTCCTGTCTCCAGGTGACCACTCTGACCTTGGTGCCTGGTGCAGCCCCTTCCACCCACCCTTCTCTGACCCACCACCCAGCCTGGGCCTGCCCTGCCCACTCACTGGAGGAGCTCATGCAGTTCTTGGAAGAAGGTTTCACAGCCTGGAGAGGCACAGGCCTGTCTGGGACCTGTCCACTTTTTCAGTGCTGCAGCCCCAGGGCCTGGACAGAGCGGGGCGTCCGTGAACACTGCCGAGGCACAGAGGGGCACCCCCAACACCACAGCACCTCTCTGATGGCCACTCGTAGCTGTCCCTCTGTACTTTTCCCCCCAGCCCTGCCCAGGGTCACCCTCCAGGTAGCTTTGCAGCCATAACCCCTCTTGCAGGACCAAGGACACTTCTGCCAGACCTGACGGGGCTCCAGGGTGGGCCAGCATCCAGCTGGACAGATAAGATGTGTGAACCAGTCTGCTGTGAGATAAGACTGAGTGAGGCCTTTCCCTTCTCCCCAACTCCTGAGGGAAGCAGAGTCCTGCTCCCATGCCCACCACGTCTCCTCTCCCTGTGGGGGGATGGCTGGACCAGGGGCTGGTGTGAGAATCATAAGCAGTGCTCATGCTCAAGGGCACCTCTGACGGCTGTCCGAAGCGTTCCCCACCCCTAATGGGTGGAAGAGGATGTGTTCTCTGGCGCTCAGGCCTTTGCCAGGTGGCACTGCCCGTTCCTGGGCTCAGACCCAGTTCTGTCCCTGGCTGCCTCAGTGCGGCCCTGGCCACAGGCCTCAGGGTCACCGCTGGCAGGCTTTGCTACCTGCTGGCCACCAGCCCAGGGCCCCGGCTGTTGAGGATGGCACCAGGGACCCCGTGCGTCAGACCACCTCCCACGGTCCCACGTGGGCAGCAACTGTTCCCATGGTATTCCGGGGGAAGGGGCTTGGGGCCACTTCTCTTGGGACCGTGTGGGCCTCAGTCTCCCCCTGGTCCCTCCTCAGCACTGAAGTACTGGGCACAGTCCAAGAGATCAGGTTTCATGCCTCAGCTGTGAAGGATATTTGTATCACATTTCATTTGTATCATTTTAAATTTTTTTGTTATAATTGTAAAATTATACATAAAGAAGCACTTTTCATTTGTATCATTTAAACATTTTTGTGACAGTTATCATCATTCCACAGACCACACCTGCTGAGTCCTTGATGTCGACCTCTGTCAACCATGGAGCCTACAGGCTGCTAGCCTGACCGGGGTGGGCTTGCACAAACAGGCCCCTCCCAGACCCAGCCTCACCCCAGGACCTGAGCCTGGGGTTCACGCAGCGGGGCAGGATCCAGGCCACGGGATGGAGTTGTATGACCTACATGTGTTTGTGTTATTAGCTCCAGAGCTGGCAGGCGGAGGCAGTGACACAATTCGAGGAACTGTTGACTCGGCTCAGGGCCCTCCCCACGCCTGCTGCTGTGAGAGCCAGAGGAGACGCATGAGGACTGCACGTCCCCGCAGGGCACTGCTGATGTCAGTGCCGCCGGGGGCCTCCCATGGGCCCCTGGGTGGCCCTGGGTCAGCTGCCTGGTCTCTGGCATCCTCCCGTGCCCATGTGTGCAGTCCCAGCTTCTGAGGTCCTGGCCTCCCCTGCTCCTCCCTGCGCCCTCCCCTCCCCACCCCTCACCGACTACAGCCAGCCAGGGAAGGTGCTGGGGTGGGGCGGCAGTCACCCTGCCTGTTTGGTAAGCTGGGAACAATGACCCCCAAGGTAAGGAAGCAAGTTCCCCCTCTTTGCAGCCTTCCTCATAGATTCCTACCTCCTCTGTGGTTGGTGCCTGCAGGTGCCAGCATCCCGGGATAAGCTGGGGAGAGCTCGGGCCTTGGCCAGGTGCCCCAGACTGCGGCTCCAGGAAAGGACCAGGGCTCCTGGCGAGGTGCCCAGTTCTGACCCACAGGTGGGGGGATCTTGAAGCCAGATCCCTGTCACACGGGAATATCAGGCCTGTCCTGAGGACTAGGCACATGAGATGAGGTACGTGGAAGATCTTTACAAGCCTGGAAGTGACCCACAAGGTTAGCTGTGGTGTTGGTTTTGGTCCTGTAACTTTCCTGAGACAGGACAAGGGGCCTGTGGCCACACTGAACTCTGTAACAAGGGCTGAGACAGACATCAGTGTCAACAGGAACCAGGAGTTACGGAATTTAGTAGAAGGTGCCAGGTGCTGGGCTTGGGGTCTAACTCTAGGCTGCCTGGGGAGGGCAACAAGGACACCCTTGCCTTCAAGGCACAAATAATAGTGTTGGAGAGGACAGGCTCCCCAAAGAAGGGTCTCACACTGTGTCTGCCTGAGCCCTTGGGCCCCTGTGTGGGGAGGGGACGGGGTAGAGGGGGCCACCAGGCATTTCCATTGCCCACTAAACAAAACAGTTCCCTTTTGTTTAGTGAGTGCAGTTGGAACTTTGACTGGAAAAGAGGTTCCACTACAAAAATGAATATTGAAAAACCAGAGACCTCATCTAACCCCATAGTTTCACCAGTGAGGAAACTGAGGCCCAGAATAGAGAAGTGGTTCATCTAAGGCTGCCCAGCTCAGCTGTGTCAGAGTTCCTGCCTAGGCTACTCACCCCTGGTCTGCGAAAAAAGAGCCAACACCCCGAGGATGAGGAGGACAAAGCCAAAGCGGGGTGCTGCCATGAAGGTCTGGGCCTCGGCCACAGCAACTTTGACATGACCCCCGAGGTGAGGCCTCAGGAGCCTTGTTGAGCAGATGCTGATCTGGGATGGAGAGGAAGGCAAGGCCTCCTCTGCCCACTTCTCTGACCAACTGAGAGCTCTGCGGGTGGTCAGCCCCCGCAAGCCCTCTCCAACTAATCAACCACCCCACCCGCTGCTTTCCAGCCTGCCACCCGCTTCTCCAGGCATTGTCTCACAGTCCTCACTACAAGTAATTGAGGTAGGCAGACAGGCGCCCCTCTGCCCATTTTACAGTTAAGTGAACGGAGGCACCGGCAGTAAGTGGGCCTGAAACTGAGCCTCCCTGATGTAAGAGTTGTCCTCTCATCACAATTTTCTGCTCTTTTCAACGCCTTTCCTCAGCTATTCCTCCTCCCCACAACATAGGCTCTGCTCTCCCTTCACCCAACTCTGTGCTGACTGGCCCAACCTTGCCCTCACTGGCTTTAGCAAGGAGAGTTGCCCCAACCAGGGTCTTCCCGGGTCTCTCAGTCCACAGAGAGCTCCCAGCCTTTCACACAGCCTGGGCCCAGTCCCTCCCCCAAGAGGTGAACTTCTGTTTATGGTCTCTTGACTGCAGAACAGGCTCGGGCCAAGAACTTGGTCCTTCAGCCATGACTGTGTGGGACTAGGCCAGGACATCCAAACAAGCTCCTGACACCTGCCCTTTCCCTAAGATACAGCCCACATTTCAGTGCCAGGGTAACCAACCATCTCAGCTTACCCAGAACTCTCCTGGTTGGCACTCAAGTCCCCAGGAAGTTCCTCATACCTGGGCAAGCTGGGACAACTGGTCACCCTACTCAGCATACACATACCTAGGGTCTTCATGCCTTCCCCTGCCTCCACTGAGCAGGGTCTTTCTTCTTCCTATTCCCCTGGTCCCCACTGAGGCCAGTGAGTGGTCAGTCCACTCAATCTATCTGGCCCCCTCAGACTTGGCTGGGGCCTAGCCCAGGCCCAGGGTAGAGTTAAAGGCCCAAAGTCTGCTAAGGTGAGCAGAGGGTCTACAACCTATTGGGGGCAGCCTACCCTAGGCCCGGTGAGAGAAATAGCAGAGGGTGCCCACAAAAAGCCTAGTGGGATCCTGGGCTTTGATCTCAACCCACCTTTATCCTCAAGGCTGGGAAACAGGTCACTCGGTGACCCAGGTGGGGGAGCCCTAGAGCTGGAGCCAGGCAGGGCTGCCTAGGGCTCACTGAGACAGCTTCTACCTGTCTGGGCTTGAGGTGAGTCATTTCCTCCCCGAGCTGGTATGATGCTGGGAGGGGAAAGGAGGGGATAGTATCTAAAAATAGTAGGGCCCAGCCTTGGAGATACCCAAAGAGCTTCTCCTTGGGCAAGGGAGGAGCCAGCTTCTCACCAGAGCTGACACCAGCTGTGACCTCAGCCAGCTGCCTGCATCTGGCCACGGAGAAGGGCGCCACCACCCGCCCCCCCTCCCCTTCCCAGGCTCAGTGTAGAGTGCTGAGGTGTGGAGGAGGCATCTGGAGGGCTGAGGCACAAGTAGCGTTGGGGTGGAGTGGGAGCTCGTACAAGGCCTCAAGCAGACACGGCCTGGAAAGGGGAGGGTGAATCTGTGATTCGGAAGGCTGGGCCCTGGCAGAAACAGCAGGGACTGGATCACCAGCCTGGATTTCCCTCCACATCATCTCCGCAGAACCCGGATCACTCCCCACCCCTACCCACACAGAGAGACACACACGCAGACACACATACACAGCCTGCACACTCAGCTGGCCTGTGAGTCACTTCCCTCTAAGAGGACTCATCCCCCTGCTAAGTGGGACTCAATTTCCCAGGTCAGCAGCACAGGCTGAGGACCCACTGTGTGCTTGAGCCACGCCCTGGGAAATAAGGAAGCAATCAGTAATCATGACTGTCCTTGGCCTTGGGTACACTTTAAGAGGCCCATTCAGGAAAGGGCAGCACAACACCCAGAGCAGAAACACAGGAGGCAGGGAGGGCCCTGAGCGGTGGGACAGTCTGGAGTCAGGGAGGCCTCGGCTCAAATCCTGGCCAGCCATTTCCTAGCCATGTGACCTGAGACGAGTTACTTGACATTTCCCTGTCTCAACTTTCTCATCTGTACAATGGATGACATATAAGGCCTTCCTCACACGTCAAATACAATATTGCCTATAAAGTCTCCAAGCAAACAAACCTCTTTCCATTAAAGCTCATGGTGTGAGGCTATCAACTTAAAAAAACAATAAGGCACTGTAGGTTTCAGTACACATTTGTAGCCCAAAGACCCAAGATGGTAACATCCTGCCTGGCCCCACTCGTGACAGGTTAAGATGAGCAGTGGCGTAAAACTGCATTTTACAACAAGAGCAATGGCCACTATTATGAACACTTCATAGTTACCTCATTTTCTTTAAAAAAAAAAAAAATATTCATTTGGCTGTGTTGAGTCTTAGTTGCGGTGTATGGGCTCTTCGTTGCAGGCGCTCAGGGTTCTCCGTGTCTCCAGGCCTCCAGAGCACGCAGGCTCAGTGATTGTGAACGGGGTGCTTAGCTGCCCTGCAGCATGTGGGATCTTAGTTCCTCAACCAGAGATGGAACCCACGTCCCCTGCATTGGAAGGCAGATTCTTAACCACTGGACCATGAGGGAAGTCCCCCTCATTTTCTCTTGTCCTCAAAACAGCCTCATACAACAGGCATTATTATCCCCATGTTACGTGTGGAAAAATGGAGGCCCAAAGACAGTAAGTAACTTGCCTCACATCATACAGGTAGTATGTGGCAGAGACCATGTTTGGACCCACTCTTGAGTCCAAACTTCTTGTACTTCATAGGGTGTAAGTGGAGGTCTGTTATGTCTGGAGTTGAGTCTGTGACTCTCTGACTTTTGGGGGTAGGGGCCCTTGGACACTAGCCTGGGGTGACTAGACTATGCCTTCTGTCTCAACTCCCTCACCCTGAGCCCCCACCTAGAAACACAGAATGTACTCTGCCCTTTCTCGGGGTTACCTCTTGTACTCCTCACAACAGCCCCGTGAGGGAAATACCACAACTCCCACTTGACAGAAAAGGCAGACAGATCAAAGGGATCACGAGCCTTTGGTGGCCGCAGACCTTGGGGAGGCAGTCTGCGCCTAGTGTTGGCCCCTCAGGCTCCTAGACGGAGACTCTGTCCCCGCACCCCGGCTGCACCCCGGCTGTCTGATTTTAAAGGGGAAGGGGCAGGAATGCCTCTGCTCTCTCAGGCTCTTCACACTTTCCCAGAACCGTCTCTGTTCCCTCTTGCTGGATTGCACGTAAAGCCCAAAGCTTGCATCAGTCAGTGGGCCCAGTAAGAGCCTCTTTTCTGTTTCTGTGGGCTTTCCCCACCGTTATCTGAGTCATCCTCTGCCGGTTCCAGGAGAAGGGAGAGAGGAGGCCTCTTATCCCTACAGTACAGATGGAGAGACTGAGGCAGGAAGTGACTTAACTCCAATGCGTCAGGGGCCTGAGCTGGCAGCAGGCCAGGCCAGGAGGCCACTGGTGGAGCCGGCAGCACCTGGGGTGCCACGCACTTAGTTTTTAATGCTGTAGAGTAAGCACAAATATCAAGAAATGGGTGTTGTGTTGCAGGCCCTGGGTGAAGAGATGAGTGATACTGCAAAAAAGATGAATCTGATACAGGAAATAAAACAGACAAAACCCAGACACCCATCTTGCTCCTGTTACAGACTCCCTGAGCCCAGCCAGGTATGGCTTGTAGCTCAGTTTTCTCCTCTATAAAAATCATCAGGGTTATCCTTTATTGGGTGACTTCTAATGACCACAGGGGCTTAACACTTTATAGGCACTATCTTATTTAATTCCTACTACAACACAGTGAGGTTGGTATGTATTAATACTATCATCATCTCCATTGGACAGATGGCTTACCTGAGGCTCAGAGAGGTTAAGCAACTTCCCCAAAGACACAGTGCTTGTTCCAGCAAGTATAGGACAACAAATCTAGGGGCTGACTTAGAACAGCTCTCCAAATACAGCGAGGCAGAGGGGCCTCCGCGCGTGTGATGCCCACGGGGAGCTGCCCAGGTGTGTCTGCGGGTTGGTAACAGGAACTCATGTGTCTGTCAGCGCAGTGCGGGGGGGCGGGGGTGGAAGGACCAGCGAAGAGCAGAACGCCAATCGCCCGGGGCATAAAGAGCCAGGGCGGCCTGGAGGCAAGGGGGATCCGGACAGGCTTGTCCGGGCGGGGCGCCTGCGCGCGCCCACCCTGGGCGGGGGCAGAAGCCGACGGCGCCCGCCCTGGAGCCCAGCACAGATGGCTGGGAGGACAGCGGCGCGGGGACAGGCCTTAACTGCCGCGGGCGGGCCCCACCGGCGCCCTCCCCTCCCCCAGCCCAGCCGCAGCCCCTGACGGGCCCAGCCGCACGTTCCCCGCGATTGCCTCATCCGACCGCCGCGGCTCGCGCCCTCCCGCACGCGCAGCACACAGCGCGCCCTCGCACCGGGAGGGCGGGGCCGCCGGGGCTGCCCCCGGCCTTGTCCCTCCCCCTCCCCGGCCCAGACCACGGCCGGACTGAGCCCCCAGCGGCCCGTCACCCGGCTGCCCTGCCGGAGCCTCGACCCAGACACCTTTGATGGCTGCCCTTTGCTCCGTCTGGTCCGAGTGGACAGATGAGGGAAATTGAGTAAGCCAGCTTACCAAAGCAGGAAACTCCTGGCCACTTTGTTACGCATGATTTTTCAGCAACTTTTCGGGGGAGGCGGGGCAGGGATCATTTCTGGAGTGAAGGTGACTGGGGACTCAGGCTGTCCTCCGGGGCTGTGAGCACCCTCCCGGCTGGCCTTACCGGCCTGCACATCCCAGGGCAGGCACAGTGCGTGACACTCGTGGGTGTTCCACAAGTTCTGAAAATGCATTTCCTCACCCTCTTCCTGTTTTGAGTGGCTGCCAGAAAGAATGCCCAGGTGAAAGGGGGCGGGCTTTAGGGCAGGAGCTGAAAAAGCTGGCTGTTGGGGCTTTAGGTTTTGCCTTTGGCAGTGAGCTTGCTGTTTCTCTTGGGCAAATCCTCGATCTCTCTGGGTCACATTTCTTGGGAACTCAGTAATAAAATAACGTGCTTGGCCCCAACGTTCAGGACAGACTTTGAACTTCTAGCAGGAAAATGAACCTTCCATTTAAAGCTGAGATTTCCTCTCGAGCATTAATATTCTCCTGGGTCTTTTAGGCAGGAGCCCACAGTATTCTGTCTAGACTCAGTGACATGTTGAGAGGCTCTGTTGAGAGAATCAAGTCCAAATTCCTTGGCTTTGTATCAAGACTTTCTTACGTGAGTTCCACCCAGCCTATCTAGCCTTACCCCCAACCTCACCCCTGCACTATAGCCTTAGGGGCAATTCAGACTTCCCCAAACATACCATACACACAGTGTTCATACGATTCTGTCCTTGTTCATGCTGTTCCCTCTGCCCAGAATGCTCTTCCCTACACTCCTCAAATGACTGGCTCCTGGCATAGATCTCCATTGAAATGTCACCACCCTAGTGGTGACAGAGGTCTTTCCCGAGTGTCCAGGAAAGCAGGGGCTCTCTGGCTCTGTTATTCCCTCTAAGCTTCCTTCCCTCCTCGGCTCTTATTGCACCTTGGGATTAGAAGTTGGTCTCTCCACCTGACTGAAAGATCTATGATTGAGAGACCATGTACATTTTCTTCATCTCTATATATCCAGCACTTACCAAGATGCTTGGCACATAGTAAGAGGTTAAAAAATATTTGTGTGAAGGAAGAAAGGGTGGATGATTGATTAGCAAAAACACTGAGAACAACCTACATGTCCATCAGTAAGGGATTGCTGTTGTAAATGATGGCATGGTGGAATACTATGCAGCCATTAGATGGATATAAACCCACATGGAAAAATGTTCCTGGTGCCTCGAGAAGTAAAGAAAGGAAGTTGGTTCCTTTCTAATTAAAAATGTCAGAGCATGACATTTTTAAAATGTCAGGAGCATGTATATAGATAAAGTCACAGATATGTCTGTAAACATAAGAAAAAGTCGACAGCATACATCAACCTAAATACCCCTGAGGAGCAGGATACAGACATTGTCACGGTTTATTTTCTATCTAATACCTTGCTTAGACATCATCTCCTCTGAGAACCCTTCTGATGCTGCCTTTGTGTTGGAGAAGCTGCCTCAGAGCGTGCAGCCAGGTGCTCAAAAGCAAGGCCTTGGTGTTCCTTCCTCAGAGGCCATTGAGTGCATGCAGGCAGCTGGGACAGGGGACAGCAGCTCCCCTGGGTGGGTGAGTTTGTCACGCAGATGCAGGGGAAAGCAGAGCTGCTGAGGACAAACAGCAGACTATCTCTACCTGCCAGGTTACATTGCTGCGGGTGGCCTTGGGCTATCAGAAGAATTCCAAAATGTGACAGGAAGCCTGGCCTTCGTGCAAGTCTGGACCCAGCTGGCTCAATTCCAGATTTGAGATAGTCAGCTTCGGCTGTGGGAGGTGCACAGGGCGGCTCCTCACTGCCCACTGGGTGCCTCAGAGTGGAGAGGGGCGAGATGCAGCTTGGTGAAAACAGGCCGCCTGCAGCCTGCGCGCTTGTCTCTGCCCCACAGTGTCTGCCCCATGAGGCCTGGGACCTCACAGTTCAGACCAACAGGGCCAGGGGAGAGGAAGGAAGAGCGGCCAAGGGCTCGGGGTCAGATGTCTGAGTTTCTATTCCCACGGGTGCTTCTCATTATGCTTGTCAGGAAACGGAAAAGCGCGCAGACCTTCGCCTTCACTTTGTTTCAGATCTCAACCCGGTCTCTCTTCCCCTTGCCTGTCTCAGAAAAGATTTCCCATCTGGAAAATCACGGGGTGGTGCAGGCGTGGACCCTCCATCTGGAGTCACCTAGTTTCCAGTGGTTACATGTTCACACCTACGAACCCTGTGACCCTGGACAAATGGCTTTGTCCCCTGTGCCTCAGTTTCCCTACTAAATTAGGTAACGCCTGGGAAGTGTTTACAAATGGGCCTCATACGTGCAGGAGTATCTGTTACTATTTGTGTAAGCTGTCTTCCACAAAAACAAATTGTCTGTCTGTCTGGGGTAATAACAATACTTATTTCACTGAGCTGTTGTTAGGATTAAGTTGGATAATGCGTGTCAGGTGCTTGATGTGTTAAGCATTTACTTATTTTACTAAAGATAACAAGATGGGAATACAGATCCCTGTCCCAGGGATGCCGGGAGTGGGGTGGGGGGATTAGCATGGTGTCTGCTAGTGACATCCCGGGAATGGCGTGCAGAGCCTCTGGTGGCCCAGGCAGTCATGTTGGTTCAATGGTGTTGTTACTCTGCTGGGTCTTGCTGAGTTGTCTGGTTAGTCAACTGCCTGTTCCCTCAGACCCATTTAAACCAGCTCCATCTGGCCTAACTTTCCCAACACACCATCCTGGCAGCTGTCACAGGCCCAGAGCACTGGGCAAAGTGTCAGGCCTGCTGCAAAATATGTTGGAACTTTATCTGACCCCTGGCTCCTGTCCCATCCAGAAATACATTGGCTGAAACTTGCAGCCAAGCTCAAACAAGCCTGGGGGGTGGAGGGGGAAGGCGGTTCTGAATCACAAACCAGCCATTCCCCACACCCTCCATCTTTGTTGGCCCCCTTTTTATTTGCACGGTTCTACCGATTAATGCTGTTCCTAGTTATGAAACAGTTTTTAAAACCAAAGGTTTAATCCTGAGCCCTGGATTTGCAGATAAGGGGAAGAGGACTGTCCCCCCAAACTCAGGGAAGTTCATTGCAGAATTTTCCTCTTTTTCTTCTTTCATTGTTGATTTGCGGTCACCTTTCTGGAGGCTAGGATGATCCTCTAGGCCACTGTCTGGAAATCCCCAGAAAGAGGCTGTGACAATGGCAGTGCTGGCAACCACGCTGGACTGGCACCTGGCCAGCTTTGGAGAGGGTGGTGCTAAGTCTGGGAGTCTCCACCCCAGTCAAGGTCAGGTGGAGCCTGCGTCCCTGCACCCCCACCCAGTCTTTGCGACTCCCCGCAGGGGCGTCCCAGGCAAGTGAGCAGGCGCCCAGGCCAGCCAGCAGGTCTTCATTCAGGTACTCCTAAGGCTAAGAATAAGTCTTAGAATTAGTCTTAGTCCTAGAATTCTAAGTCTTAGAATAAAAGGAATTCGAGGAGCACCCCACCCCAACTATGCATTTGGGCTTTCAGAGAGCTGGTTCACTAGAGAAAGGAAATGAGGAAAGGGAACATCAGTGTGGTGTGGATCGAAGAGTTCTAGATGTTAGTTTAATTTTCAAGAGCTCCAAAATTTCCCATTACACAAGTCATACTGTCAAGACCCTAAACTTCACAGATTTGAAATTCATCAGATTCAGAATTTTTGAAAAATCACGCTTGTCAAATTTGAGTATGGACTGAATATGAGATGATATTATGGAACAATTGGTTTTCTCAATGTGCTTATATAGGAGAACAGCCTGTTCCTAGGAAAAGTGAAAATCACTCAGTCATGTCCTTTTTGCGACCCCATGGACTGTAGCCCGCCAGGCTCCTTTGTCCATGGAATTCTCCAGGCAAGAATACTGGAGGGGGTAACCATTCCCTTCTCCAGGGGATCTTCCCAACCCAGGGACCGAACCCAGGTCTACCCACATTGCAGGCAGATTCTTTACCCTCTGAGCCACCAGGGGAGCCCAGGAATATTCGAGTTGGTAGCCTATCCCTTCTCCCCCAGATCTTCCTGGCCCAGGAATCAAACTGGTGTCTCCTGCATTGCAGGCAGATTCTTTACCAGCTGAGCTACCAGGGAAGCCCTCATTCCTAGGAAATTCATGCTTAAATATTTTCGGGCTAAAATATCATGATGCCAGCAACTTCTTTTCAAGTGGTTCGGCAAAAAAACTTGCTACAGATAAAGCAAATGCTGCAAAAGTTTAATAATCGTTGCATTTAAGTGGAAGGTACGTAGTTGTTTATTGTGCCATTCTTGCAGGATTTCTATTTGTGTGAAGACTTTCTCCCTAATATCTTAAAGGGAAACAATTTAAATAAAATAAGCTATCCACGTGCAAAACAAGAAGTAATTCAGCCTGCTCTAGCTGAATTTTACCTCTTCTCTGAGAACAGAAATAGTAGAAACAAGATGGCGTCCAGGATTGCAGAGTTGAGCCAACCAAAGAGAACCAATTATTTTTAAAGAGTTTATTAAGTACTCGTCTGGAAACAGTACTGGTCGTTAAAAATCCTTTTAGTTCATGGCCAGTGGAGGACTCATTTTGGAAAATGGGAGATTTCAGCCCTTTTAGCTTATTGGCACCAGATTTAACACAAATCAGGAAACACATTTTGAAGACTTGCTATGAGCATGGCCCTGAAACATCACCAGAGGTGTTTTTCCCCTGCCTACAGTCTGATACTGCATGCAGGGTAGCCATAATTTTTCAATGTGGTTTTTATGGGTTGAATTGTGTCCCCCACTTTCCTTTGTTGAAGTCTTCATCCTCAGTACCTCAGAATGTGAACTTATTCAAGAATAGGATCATTACAGATGTCTTTAGTTAAGATGAGGTCAACAGGTTGGACTCTATCTAATCTGACTGGTGTCCTCATAAAAAGGGAAAATTT